CCAGGCCTGGTCACGGCCTGTGGGGGGCCCCCCAGGCAGCCGTCTGGTTCTCTCGTTGACATTGGAGGGGCTGGGGCCGATGCAGGACCTGGGGGCAGGTCTCTTGTCCCTGGATGAAGACAGGGTCTGAGAAGTGGGGGGTGAGGTCACCACGGCTCCCCGGTCCAGGTTCCCATCAGTCTCCACCATGGTGTTAATCACTAAACCAAGAAGGAGGAGGGGGGGGGGGACCCTGGTCAGTCCTGGTTTTTCAGTGGATCAAGTCTGAGAAGGGAACAGGTCTTACCTCGGAGCTGCCTCTGGACTCGTCGCAGCTCCTTGATGATGGAGGAAATTTCCTAAAACAGAAGAGCGAAACAGAACCTGGTTCACACCAGACCCAGACCCAGACAGAGGACCAGGACCAGGACCTAAACCCATGACTACCTTGTTGGAGGTTTTGAGGATTGGGATGTCGTTCTCGGCGTTGATCCTGGCCTCAGTCTGCTCCCAGACCTGCACCTTGTTCTGGAACAGGACCCTGGTGAGGAAAAGGATTCTGGATTGATGTGGTTTAGTCTGGATTCATTTGGACTGCTCTGTTCTGGTGCAGCAGCAGTGAGAACTTACTTCATGTTCTGAGCGAGCTGCTCCGTGTTCTGACGGATGTCCTGGGACAGCTGCCAGACTGGATTCAGCATCAGGTTGTCCAGGATCACCTGCAAGAACCACATCCACTTCAGGACCTGAAGAGTCCAAAGTCTTGTGGACTGCGTATAGAACCAACATGGTGCGGTGCCACATGGTACGTTGTCTATTACTTTCATTTCTTTGTTTATGGTGATGTAAATAACATAAATATGAACTAAAGGTTAGCCTAGTTGAACGTTAGCTCCAGAACAAAAGGCTAAAGGCTCAGCGTTAGCTAAAACTCAACGGAAAATCTCTGGGAGTGACATCAGGGTCAGGGTCAGGGTCAAGGTCAGGGTCAGGGTTAGGTGTCTGTCAGTCTGTCAGTCTAAACAGTTCCAGACCTCTTCACGGTTCCAGGTTCTGCGCTGTTCAGAGCCTGACTCTGGGGGGTTCATGTTAGCATCACGTTCAGAGAATGGAGGATCTCCTTCTGGGGGACCAGGACCAGGAGGAACCTTCTGGAAGTTAAGTCCTAGTTCAGGAATTTGTTGGACCAGCTGTAAAGAAATCAGAAGATTCTGGTTCATGTTTTAGAATTCTAGTGTTGCTGGTACCGGTACTACTGGTCAGTTTTATGGTCCCCCGCGAAAAGGGAAAACCCACAACGTAGACGTCAGATCGTTCTTCTATTATTAACCCTTCATGAACCCCCTCCCCCACTGTTATCACCCCCCCCCCACACAGTTATATTCACAGTAGAGTTGTTGAATGACGACGCAGAGTGAACAAGAGAGTGGTCGACAGACAGGGGGCGCTACTGAGAGATGCTACGATGCATGAGCCAATCAGAGGGAGGAACAGAATGCTGTGTTCGATCTCTAGCTAAACAAAGCTACCAGCGATGTCTTTTAGTTTATTTTTGCTCTATTGCTACTGTTTAATTTTTTTAGGTTATAAAATGTTTTTATCACAAAAATAATGAAAATATTGGAAATGTACCATAAAATACCGCAAGATTGGAAATCTGCGAGGTAGTGAGGGAGCGAAATGAGAACCATGATACAGACCTTCACCTCACAGATGGAACCATTTGTTACCATTGGCATGGTGTGAGCGCCACCTGGTGTTGGTTGTTGTACCTCAGGGCTCGGTGATTTCATCCGTCACTGGTCGAAATGATGGCGTATATTATTAATATGGCAAATAGATGCCGTTGTCGGTCAGGCTGCACTGACACAAGCAGGGCCACTGGCCAGTGGTTGAAGCACCCACAGACACCAGACCAGGTCTAGATCTTAAAATGGTCTGTGGTCTGTCTGAGGAGGACTGAAGATGGATCTTACCATGGGCACTTACTCACCTCCTCCCTGGTGGAGATGGTGGAGGCGGGGGTGCAGGCACTCATCGAGTCTCCGTCTCCTGCTACATCGTGGATTTCCCTGGCCAAAATAGCCAGGTCTTTTGCCAAGTCCTGACTGAGTCTGAAACACAGAAGGAAACACAGTCAGAACCTGACCTGGTCTTTAACCTTAGACCTGGAGTCTGGAGTCTGTAGAACTTAGACTGAAGCATCGGGTCCTGGACCCGGAGTTAGTCCTGGACCCGATGTCTGAGACTAAACACCGAACAAGAGTGAAAAAAGTGATTTTACTTTGCGATCTCTGCGGTGTGCGTAGACCAGTTCTGGTAGGCATCCACCTGGTTCTGCTCATCATTGTCTTCCATCTCCAGAGGTGGGGACTTGGATGAAGTCGACCTAGTGGATGTCCAGTGGGCTTGAGAGGTGTGGGCGGAGCTAATGAACTGAGAGGAGTCTTTGTGTACGGGGTACTCTTCTTCAGAGGACGAGGAATACTCCGAGTCTTTCTGTCTGCGACGAGACCCTACGGACATTTGGTTTAGTTCAGGCTGATGTTGAGGTTCAGATCTGCAGACCTTCAAGTCTACTCACCTGGGTTCTGGTACTTGGCTCCACTGGACCTGGACTTTGTTGGATGTTGCTTCTTTGGAGCTCCAAGCCCCCTGCTGTTTGCCGGCTGTACTTCGCCCTCGGAGGCCTTCCTGGCAGAGGCTCGAGAGGCATTTCGAGTGAAAACAGAGACACGACCTGTAACCTCGGAGTCACTGGGAGCCGTGAAAGACCCGGTCCTTTTCCTGGGCATGGCCAAGATGTCCAGCCTGGACAGTTTTTTTCCCTCAGTCGCAACTTTGGAAGAAGTAGTGATGTTATCGGAGTTTTGGGATCCGCGGTCAGTCTCGGCACCTTCATTGTCTGATGCCTCACCCAACCGCGCTCGCCGCAGCATGGAGGCACGGGTGGGACGAGGTGCGGAGAGGCTGTTGGAACGGGTTAGAACCTGTTGAGTTGGTGTCTTGGGCATTTTTCTGTTGGTGTCTTTCTGAAGCTTCTTGCTGCGACCGGGAGGATGAGATGTTTCTTGGTCTGATGATACATTTTCACACCAGTTTGGTCCAGAACCCTGTTGGCCCTCAGACAGATCCAATGACCCGCATGTTCCTGTGCTGCGGCGCATCTGGAGTGACTTTGCTGCGTCCACCTTCTTTGATGGCTCACCATTGTTCTGGCTTCTGCGTTTTTCAGAGAGACGTTCTCGTGCACTTAGCTGACGTCCTTTTTCTTGGATTGATGGACTGGAAGAAGATTTCTCCTTTTTAAGTCCACTGATCACCCGATGCTTTTTGGGGGTGGAGCCAGTCATTGCGTTTTTGCTGCTCACATGGCTCACAGTGCTTGCAGTGTCCACATCAGACTCGCCTGATAAGGAGTCCTCCACGTGGCTGGAGGAACCGCCTCTTTTGGAGCTGCGTCCTGAGTCAGAAGTAGGGAACCTGTTGTCCAGAGAGAACAGTGTTCCTTCGGTCTCCTGTGGCGAACACTGCGTGTCCTGGATGGTGTTCTTTCTCTGCTCCAAGTCCCTCAGCGATGGGTGGCTAGAAATGTGGGGGAGTTTCTTTAGCTGGATCCCATCACTAGGCCGGTCTCTAGTGAAGCTCTCCTGACGAACAAAACAGGAGGCGCCGTTGTCTTTAGTCAATATGGAGTCCTTGTTCTGTGTGTGAAGGTCAGGGGCAGAGCTGTTGGGTTTGACCCCTGACCTTCTGGGATCAGGTCCACTCAAGTGTCGAATTAGGACAGTGGTAGCAGGAGGTTTGACCAGGGGATCATGTGACTTCTCTGACTGATGTATACTGCAGATCTGGTCTGGTTTGTCTGAAGAGTCTTCAGAGCCAATGTAGAAGAAAGTGGACTTGGTGAGTGGCCTCAACTTGTCCTGGTCTCTAAAGTCAGGAGACAAAGCTCCGGGTGCGTTTGAACTCTTTGTTCTTTCCAGAACCGGAGCGTCGTCTGAGCGGCTGGCATCGCTCAGGCTGTCTGGATCTACATCGTCGTGGACGGAGAGACCTTGGGCAGAGGGAGGAGCAACAACTGTGTCTGTGTGGTCCAGGTCTTTGTGAGGCTCACAGTAAATGAGGATCCCAGGCGTGGCACTGCTGCTCTTCTCTGGAGGAACCTGAGGCAGGAGCCGTCTGGTCCTACAGCTAAAACTGGACTCGGACTCTGAGCAGTCGTAGCTGCAACTTCCTGTTGACCTCACGAAGCAAGTATCTGAAAGCCAGGGGTCACAACATCACATCAGTGGTTCCGGTTTCATCATTTGAAAGGGTTTCTCTTTCGGTAGTTTTTCCTTACCCTGGCTGACGGTCTAAGGACAGAGGATGTTACCAACCCTGTGAAGCCCCATGTGACAAACTGTATTTTGTAAATGTGGGCTATATAAATAAAATTTGATTTGATTTGATTTGATTTAATATAGAAATAGATTTCACAGTATATACTGTGTATATGTAGTACATACATGGAATTACTAATTAAGTCAAAAAGTCCTTTATACACAGTATATTTACCTCCTGACTGAAGGCCGAGCCAATACTATTTCTTTACAAACAGACACAGTAGTACTGCAGTAGTAGTGCAGTAGTAGTAGTGCAGTAGTAGTACATTAGTACATTAGTAGTACAGTAGTACTGCAGTAGAAGTACAGTAGTAGTGCAGTAGTAGAACTGCAGTAGTAGTACTGCAATACTACTGTACTACTGTACAACTACAGTAGTAGTACTGCAATACTACTGTACTACTAATGTACTAATGTACTACTACTGCACTATTACTGCAGTACTACTGTACTACTACTTCACTATTCCTGCAGTACTACTGCAGTACTACTGCACTACTACTGTACAACTACAGTAGTAGTACTGCAGTAGTCGTACAGTAGTACAGTAGTAGTGCAGTAGTACTGCAGTAATAGTGCAGTAGTAGTGCAGTAGTAGTACAGTAGTAGTACTGCAGTAGTAGTACATTAGTACAGTAGTAGTACAGTAGTATTGCAGTAGTAGTAGTGCCATGGATGTGACCCTACTTTGGACCTTTTCTTGGAGACAGTTATGAAGATTCTTTTCTTGTATTGTTTACCTTCTGGACTTGCTGTCCCAGGTGGATTGGACCCAGGTTCAGCGTAGCCACCTGCCAGACTGGCCCAGCAAGAAACCCACTTTGGTTCTTCTAGAGCAGCTGCAGCCTGAGGACAAAAGAGGACAGGAAGTTACCGGACAAGAACACCCTTCCAAAAGAGGACAGTTCCTGAACACCGGCAAAAGCAAATCTGCATGCACAAGAACCAGGACCTGCACTGGGTTTAGAGGTTTTACCTGAGTTGGGGCTGAGGGAACATCAGCTGGGACAAAGCCATGCAAGGGGTCCACAGCGCCAACATCAGGAGGCAGGTTAGTACTGTCCTCCTGTCCTTCTACCACAGGTTTGTCAACTCCACTTAACTCTGCAGACTCCAGCACTCCAAAGACCTGCATGCGGGAAGGATTAGGGTGGAAGGTTGTAGGGCAAGGAGGTGGTGGAGGGGGTGACAAGGAGAAGAAGGTTCATGCAGTTCTGACCACCATCTCCAGGTTTACATTCCTCAAACCTCAATCATTTCCAACGCCAATATCTGGTTTCTTTCCAGGTCCAAGCACCTAGCTGACCCTAACCCTCTATAAAACAGTTCCATCACTGAACCAACCAACCTCCTCTCCACACCACCTACCCCCCCGACCTCCTCTGTCCTGACTCTTGTCTCATTCTGCTGCCCCTCCCCCAGCCTCTGGAACAAGATCTCTGCACGGTAACATCCCTGTCTACCGTCTGGTCCCGATGTTAGCCTAGCCACCATGACTTCCACACCAACACCAGCTGTTTCTCCTGACCTAGCCTTTGATGAAGTTCTAACTGTAACTTGATTGGTCAGCAGTTAGCGCAGTTAGCGCAACACCTGTCCACTAGAATGACCTACAGCCAGATAGCTACGTCTACTGGATGTGATCCTCAAGGAAACCTGATCACCTGATCAATCATGTGACGCGCCTCCTCCACCTCCTGGTCCTGTGACTCTGTCTCAATGGTGTAGGTTCCAGCGTCGCTCAGACTGTCTTCCTCTTCGGTCCGTAATGCCCTCTGTACACCCTTGGTGTCCACTGATCTGAGGGCATTTTGCAGTGGGGGCACTGTGGGGGCTGCCACTGTCTGTCCAGGGCCTGTGTAGATGCAGAGCTGGGAAACCACTGGGGGCTGAAGGGGACATGCAGAGGGGGCCACTGAGGAAAGTGCCGGAGCTTCCTGTGGTGAGGGAATCCTGGCGTGCGGCGTCACCATCACCGGCGGTGCAGACATCGGTACTGGAGATAGCTCCCCCTCAGCATGGGTGGGTTGTTTCAGGAGTTCAGCAACAAATTCCTGTGCCAGTTTGGATTTCTTCCCAACACTGCCAAAAGGTCTGATAATGATGCCCGGGGAGGACTGTGGGGGGACACTTGTACTGGCTGCCTCCCCCTCTGTTTTCTCCCTTTTTAAGGAACTGGACCTCTGGGGGCCACTGCGACTCTTCAGGGAAACATGTCCATGCACAGATGCTGGTCGTTCTCCTACCTTCCTGCGCTCTAACTTAGCCTTCAGGGCGGAGTAGGTGTCGCTGTGGGTGTTATGGGTGAAGGACTGGGAGCGCTTCTTACGGGGGTTGTCATCAAAGAACTCGATGACGAAGGCCTGCTGAGTCAGATGCTCTGAGGGACCCTGACTGGGGCCCTCCAAGGGCGGGCTGTGGGACAGGTGCTGTCCTTGACCCAGGGAGGCAGGGGGCTCTGCTCTGGTTGGAGAGAACTGCTGGCTGTGGAAAGACACATCTGATTGGACGATTTGCTGCGTAGTCTCTGAATGCTCGGACCGGACAGAGTAGCGGCTTTGAGTCCTTCCTTTGAGACTTGGGTCTTCAGAGTCACTCTGGGTTCCATCGTCATGGCGATGACCTGTAAACAGGAGCAGATACCTAAAGGTGTGGACCAGTCAGAAGCCTCCAGCTGGACCAATCAGGAGGATTAATGTGGTCTAGGGTTCTAGTCCCGTCTGGCTTTAACCATTGTTTAACCATTGGTTCCAGATTCAGATACTTTAATCCACCTTTTTACTTTGATACATTAACATTTTACCGACTTTAGCAAAACTTGAGTATTTAGGCTAATTCTGGCGTAGTTGACAGTTAGCCTCGTCTCGTAACTTTTCACTGGACTAAACACTTTTGACAACAAACGTGGTCATTATTCTGCTGTCCCTCTTGGACAACGTCAGACACAGGAACAGGTGGATTCTGTTCTTGGGTCTAACCTCTGTAAATACCAAAGAGCAGGATGACCTCTGACCTTTAAGTGTCCTGATGTTGATGGCGAGGTCACTCTTGGTGCTGAACACATCTTCACACACGGGACGTCGTCTCATCATGCTGACATCGGTGTGCACCAGCCAATCGGCCACCTTGCTTTCTGAGGACATCACATCAACAGGTGTGGTTTTGACCGCGGTCCTGTGGGGGGGGTTCTGATGCACCCTCTGACGGGTGGAGAACTTGGTGACGTGGTCTTTGATCTTGATCTTTCCGGGCGAACAATCGTCAAATTCTATGGTGAAGGAAGCGTGGCTCTGGACGATGGGTGGTGTCGGAGTCGGAGGGGAGGGCGGTGCTGTCGACTTGTCTGTGTCCTTGGTGGGAATTTCCTGAAGCTCCTCCTCTAAGCTTCTGGAATGCTGCAGGTCTTTGGTGGGGATCTCAAAGTAGTTCGGTTGAGGGTTGTAGGTGGAGAAGACGGCCTTTGGTTGGACATCATGAAGTGACCCAGAAAAGTTTGGATCCACACAGAAAACCTGGTTCTGTAGGTCTGAGAGTAACAAAGTCGTCAACACAATTGGGAATTACTGCTACTGCTACCACTACTACTACTACTCCTGCTGCTGCTACTGCTACTGCTACTTCTACTACTACTACTGCAGCTACTGCTACTACTAACACTACTACCCCTACTACTCCTACTACCACTCCTACTACTGCTGCTACCACTGCTGCTACTACTCCTCCTGCTGCTACTACTGCTACTGCTGCTACTAGTGCTACTACTGCTGCTACCACTGCTGCTACTACTACTGCAGCTACTGCTACTACTGCTACTTCTACTGCTACTACTAATACTACTGCTGCTACTACTACTACTGCTACGGCTACTGCTACTGCTACTACTAATACTACTGCTGCTACTGCACCTGCTCCTCCTACTACTGCTGCTACCACTGCTGCTACTACTGCTACTAATGCTGCTACTACTACTCCCGCTGCTACTACTACTACTTCTACTGCTGCTACTGCACCTGCTCCTCCTACTACGACTACTACTGCTGCTACTACTGCTTCTACTACTACTACTGCAGCTACTGCTACTACTCCTACTGCTACTACTACTGCTACTGCTGCTACTGCACCTGCTCCTCCTACTCCTCCTGCTCCTGCTACTCCTCCTGCTACTCCTGCTCCTACTCCTACTGCTGCTACTACTACTGCTACTCCTCCTGCTGCTGCTACTACTACTACATCTGCTACTGCTACTACTAATACTACTGCTGCTACTAGTGCTACTACTGCTGCTACGGCTACTACTACTACTTCTACTGCTACTACTAACACTACTACCCCTACTACTCCTACTCCTCCTCCTACTGCTGCTCCTACTACTCCTACGGCTGCTACTACTACTACTCCTGCTACTGCTGCTACTGCACCTGCTCCTCCTACTCCTCCTGCTGCTGCTACTACTCCTCCTGCTCCTGCTACTACTACTACACCTGCTACTACTACTGCAGCTACTGCTACTACTCCTGCTGCTACTACTCCTACTGCTGCTACTCCTACTACTACTACTAATACTACTGCTGCTACTGCTCCTGCTACTACTACTCCTGCTACTACTACTACTGCACTCAGTAACACTGTTGTTACCTAACCCTAACCCTAATTCTGGCCCTAACCCTAACCCTGCCCCTGACCCTGACCCTGCCCCTGACCCTGACCCTGAACCTGACCCAGAGAGCCCTAACCCTAACCCTAATTCTGGCCCTAACCCTAACCCTGCCCCTGACCCTGACCCAGAGAGCCCTAACCCTAACCCTAATTCTGGCCCTAACCCTAACCCTGACCCTGACCCTGCCCCTGACCCTGACCCTGACCCTGCCCCTGACCCTGACCCAGAGAGCCCTAACCCTAACCCTAATTCTGGCCCTAACCCTAACCCTAATTCTGGCCCTAACCCTAACCCTGACCCTGACCCAGAGAGCCCTAACCCTAACCCTGCCCCTGACCCTGACCCAGAGAGCCCTTACTGTCGACCCACACCTCTGTATGGTCAGCCATCTTGGTGGGGTGAGGAGGATGTTGGGAGTAAAGTCCAGAGTGCCTGTGAACCAGTTCCAGGTACAAACAGCTACTCGTAGTAGAAGTAGTAGTGGTAGTAGCAGTAGTTGTAGTAGTAGTACACACACACACACACACGCAGATAGATGAATTACTCTACTACTGCTGCTACGGCTACTACTACTGCTGCCACTACTGCTGCTACTGCTGCTGCTACTGCTACTACTCCTGCTACTACTACTCCCGCTGCTACTACTACTGCTACTCCTCCTGCTACTCCTCCTGCTACGGCTACTACTACTACTTCTACTGCTACTACTACACCTGCTACTACTACTGCAGCTACTGCTACTACTGCTTCTACTGCAACTACTGCTACTACTGCTACTGCTACCACTACTACTACTACTGCTTCTACTGCTACTACTAATACTACTGCTGCTACTAGTGCTACTACTGCTGCTACGGCTACTACTACTACTTCTACTACGAGTAGCTGTTTGTACTGTACCTGGAACTGGTTCACAGGCACTCTGGACTTTACTCCCAACATCCTCCTCACCCCACCAAGATGGCTGACCATACAGAGGTGTGGGTCGACAGGAAGGGCTCTCTGGGTCAGGGTCAGGGTCAGGGTCAGGGTCAGGGTTAGGGTTAGGTAACAACAGTGTTACTGGAGCCAACAACAGTGTAACAACAACAACAACAACAACAGTCGTACAGTACCTTGAGTTCTGCTGCTCAGGTTCTTCTCTCCACTGCTCGGTTCTTCCTCTGGAACTTTCACATTCATCTGTAGTTGACTGCTGTACTTTTCATGCTGTAACACACACACACACACACACACACACGCAGATAGATGAATTACTCAAAAACACACACACACACACACACACACACACACTCACCTTCAGCGCCTCCTCTGGAACTTTGTGATGACTTTTCTCCAGGACGTATACATGAGAATGTGGAGAGAAGGTTAAGAACAACAACAACAACACACACACACACACACACACACACACACACACACACACGGTCAGGATATCATATCCAAAGCGTACGACATCTGAAACCTTCAGAGTGATGTAGGTCTGATCAGGAATCCTCAGGTCGTTGACAAACGTCTGCAACAACAACAACAACAACAACAACACACTGAGATCACACATCTGTTTGTGTGTTTGTTTGTTTGTTTGTTCGTTCGGTCGGTCAGCCGGTCGGTCGGTCGCCCGCCAACTCTCACCCCGTTCAGGCTGCCCAGGTCTTTGACCAGATGTTCGTCTGTTGTTGCGTTGTAGTTGATGACGGCGTGTTGTTTGTCAACACTGCGAGACTGTCAACAGGTAAATAAATCAAACATCAACGTTAATCAGTTAATCATCAGTTAAAGATCAATAACGACTAGACATTGAATCAAATGTTAACTGATAATTGGTCACTAACTCATTAATAATTAACAAAAATGTGTGTATTTTTGTATGTGTGTGTTGTCAGTCAGGATTCACAGCACCCTCCTTCTTTCCTGTTATACTGTCCACTTCCACTAGGGGCAGTGTCTCACCTGCAGCATCAGCTCACAGTCGTCTCGACCCACAAAAATCATCTCCTTTGGGAGACGATGCCTGGACCCTGAGCTGCTGACCAAAAACCAGGACGTCACGCTCATCTTCACCCAGCTGACGGAAGCAAACCCAACGGCCTCCTGGGAAATGGAGTCCACAAGCAGAGGCCATATGAATCAGGTCAGTGCCGCGTCCCTTAACCTTCCTTAGCCTTTTTAATTTATTAACAATATCAAACAGGTGTGTGTGATGACGTCAGAGCAGAGGCCCCGCCCAATTTTGAAGTCACTGCTGATGTCATTCTGATTTGTTGTTTCTTGACAGACATGGTGTCATGGTAAAATCACACGCACAAACGTGCACAGACAGATGTGACGTCATTTTTAAAAATTAAGTGACTGTGCAGGATGGTTCAGAGGACCGGAAGTACCATCGTCTAGAGAGAGATCAGTCAGTGGTCACGCCCTCCCCTCACACACAGACACACACTGACACAAAAGACACACACTGACACGCGCACACACCGTATGAAAACAGCGGATTGTCCTTCGTCCTAGTGCGGATCCAGGAGCGTCCTCCTCCTCCTCCTCCTCCTCCTCCTCCTCCTCAGATGAAAGAGGTGACGGAGATCCCCTCCCCTGCTCCTCCTCTCCTTTCTCTCACGGACGAACACCGACGGACGACTCTTCCTCAGATGAACCCCGGACACGACATTAGAAAAGACCCGGTACCTGCGGTTTTTCCGCTGCAGCGATGCCGAAGATGCTACTGATGCTGCGGGTGATGCTGATGCTGCAGCAGCGTCAGCGGAAGTTCCAAGCGCAACCTTCAAATTAAAAGACCCTAGTGCTTCAACAGCTACGTGCAGACGGGAAGAACTCAGTGATCAGTTCAGACCGAAGTCCATGGAGAAAATCAGAGATTTTACTTTAAAACAACTGACTTTCAGGAAACCCTTCCTCTGACCATTAGCGGTATATTTCATTAAAACGTGTCTTCTATAAAGTCAGAAACACACGGACGAAACATGTTTGATTGTTTTTGACTTTTAATACATTCAGGTTATTTTTCACATCAATAAACGAACGAGCAATAAATCATACTTACAAACACAGATAAAAGATAAAACTAACCCTGAGACCAAAAGATACATTTTTTAAGGATTATGTGACACAAAAAAAACACTTACTGACACTGAGTGTGTGAGTGTGTGTGTGTGTGCGTGTGAGAGAGAGAGAGTTTTGTTGAAATGTTGAACTCAAACCGTGATCAGAAAGGTAACATTAAAAGGGAGGTGCTGTTTAGACAGGTGGTTTTGGGGGGCGGGGTCATCTGTTCCTGGTCCCTCACTGGTCCCTCACTGGTCCCTCACTGGTCCCTCACTGGTCCCTCACTGGTCCCTCACTGGTCCACTCTCACACAGGTTTGGTGGTGCTGTTGTAAACCAGAGTCTCCTGCTCCGACAGGGCGGCGTGGGTGGTGCTGATGGGGGCGGGACTACGTGTCTGACTCCGCCTCTTTTTCAGGAAGCAATAGGTGAGGACCGCCAACAGAGCCAAGATGGCCACCGCCAGGACCACCGCCAGAGCCACTGAGCCTGCAGTGAGGTCATTTCCTGGTAAGTTGATTCCACTGAACAATGACGACCGTTGCGTCTGCCTGTCTCACCTGAGTCGTCTTTGTCGTCGTCTTCCTTCTCATAGCGATCAAACATCCCTCTGAAGTTAACGTTACGCTCTGGACACACACACACACACACACACATCAAACAAACAGACGGAGGTACGTGGTGGTTTGGACTTGTTGTTACGTACCCGTCACACCATCACACATCTCACTGCACTTCTGCTCCGCCTCAAAGTTATTGTCGTTCCCATGGCAACCACCATATGTGAATCGGTGACACTTCCTGTCTAGAGGGTCGTAGTACCAGCGGGTGTGACTGGCCCGACACGGACCGGTGACAGGTGGCTCTGCACACCGTGCTGTGGAGACAGAGGGGAGGGGGTGAGGGTCGGGGTCAACATGTAAGATGTTGGGGTGAGGGTGAGGGTGAGGCAGTACCTTTACGCTGGTTCACGTCGATGCTCAGGAGACGACTGAAGGTCTGGTTCACTGTGGAAGACCAGGTGAACCAGGTGAACCAGGTGAAGTGTGTGTTAAATGTGAGCTCCTCCCACAAACCAACAAAGTTACTGCACTGTGTGTGTGTGTGTGTGTGTGTGTGTGTGTTACGTTGGTGGCAGTGCTCCTCGTCTGCTGCGTCACTGCACTGTTTCACACCATCACATTCCAGACTTCGGTCCAAACAGCAGCCGCTGCCGCAGGTCAGCTGATCCTCGGGACGACATGTGACGTCACAAACCTCTGAAAGAAACGCTGCGGTGAAGTCTTAATGGACAGAAAGACGGCCATTAGCTAAACGAGCTAACCTAAATAATGAGTCAGACAACAACGAATCAAAGTTGGTAAGAATGGTTCCTGTGCTAACAGCTAACAGCTAACAACAGACTGACCTGTGGGGAGGGCGGAGCTTCTCTCTGATGTCGCTGTAAACAAACAGACAAACAATCATGTTGGTGGACTGAGACCAGGACCAGGACCAGGACCAGGACCAGGACCAGGACCTGCACGCCATCCAGCCCCTGACTGGACCTTAGGGGTGATTAGTGATGGTGGCGCTGTGGCTCACCTGTTACCCCCCCGCAGGCAGACTCGCATTGGTCACTCGACAGGAAGTTGTTCTTGTTGGCTTTGCAGCCACCGAACACAAACTGTACGCAGCTTCCTGTCGTCACGTCATATCGCCAGCGAGGAAATGCTGCACGACACGGTCCCACTTTCACCGGGGCCAGACAATACGCTGACAGGAAGTGGATAGACACGGACCGCAGGTGACCAAAAAGAGACAGGAAGTGTTAAATGTTTATTTCCTGAACAACAGCAGTCAATGACTTGCTAACACCAGGTGCTAACACCTGTTAGCACATCCGCTCTCAGAAGGTTAAGCTAACCTGAACCATGTTGAGCTAATGTTCAGTTCAGTTTATCTTGTTGTCATTTGTCACATGATCAGTTCAACAGTTCAGTGTTTGAGAACTGGTGAAAAACGTTTTTCAGAATCAAAGATTTGAGGTTTTCAGAGAATTGAACCTCAGTGTTGTTGCCTCACTGGAGCTGAGCTTGGTGTGTGTGTGTGTGTGTGTCATTCCAGTCTGACCTGTTCAAATAAAGGTGTGTTTCCAGCAGTGTCAAAACACAAACAGTGAGCCACTGTTTTTAACCCTTTAGCTCCTGGTTTTGTTGTGTTTTAGCTGTTTTTCTTTAGCTTCGTGGCTAACCTCGAGGTACTGGACCGCTGTGGCATCCTGGGCTGATGTTCTTACCCACTGTGTGTGTGTGTACTCACAGCTGGACTCCTCTGGACCCAGGACCAGCACTGAGACCTCGGCGTCCTCTGATTGGCCATTTGAGTCGGTGACCGTCAGTAGGAAGTCATATGACCCGGGTCGCAGGTCCGAGAGTCTGACTTGGTCCGGGAAACGGGTCCCCTGCATTCAAATACACATACACTGAGTGCAGTTGCAGCACACCGCCGGCAGGTGGCAGAGAACCACCCCGGGACTCACCTCTAACTGGACCTCGTGTTCAGTTCGCTGCGCCCTCCACTGGTAAGAAGTGATGTGGGCGTCGCCCAGGGCTAGACTCTCGATGCCGTTCAGAGTCACCGTCTGACCTGGCTGAATGATGACGTCACGGCCCGCGTCAGCAATGGGCTTACCTGGAGGTGATGTCACAGACACGATGATGACGATTTGCCCTCTATAATTCACAGTCCAATCACAGTCAGCCCTGAGGTCTGACGAAACTAAAGGCCCGTGTGATGACATCACAGGACAGGTGATTTTGTGATGACATCACACGTGTCAGCCTTCTCAGCTCATTGATTCATTGGTCAGTGGAACGGCACACTCACGTGACTCTTGTGGACCTGCCAGGTATTTCCGGTACACGGACTCTCTGACGTAGCTACTGTAGCCGCGCTGGTTGACGAACCTGCAGACGAAGCGGTTTCTGTGAACGCAGCGGAACAGGACGCAGGTGCGGTTTTCCGCTGATGCGGCGAAGATGTCTCCATTGGGCGACTGCAGCAGCGCCAGGTCGCAGCGCGGGGTCGCGCAGCAAGCGCGCACGCAGTCGTCACGGGACTGTGCGTGCGCGGTGGCCAGCAGCTCCGCTCCTTCTTCAGTTGCGTCTTCCGCGTCCACGACGAAATCCTCTTGACCGGAGCGGAAGGACGAGGCGTCGCTGCAGTCCGCGCTCTGTGCTGTCACTGCGCCCTGTCGCTGCGGCGGTAGAATCGTCAGGTAGAGAAGAAGAGGAAGCAGCAGCGGCAGGAGGCGGCGCGGCAGCAGCGGCAGCAGCGGCAGAGCGGAGGAAAAAGGTGAAGCAGAAACAGGAGTGGCCATGTTGGTTCTCTTGGAGTGAGAGAGAAGCTGAAGCTCCGTCTGTACCTGCGGCTCAGGTGTGTTCAAGCAGGAACTGAAACCCGACACCTGTGTGACGTCATGTGGCGTATCTCCTCCTGGTGTAAAAGGGTGAGGTGACTGGGTGTGAGGACAGGAGGTGAGGCGCTGGCGCGACTTGTGTCGAAAGGTCGCAAGTTCGAACCCTCCTCCTCCCGTGTCACCGAGGTGCTGCCACCTGCTCATTAAAGGTTCTCTGACGTCACGGGGCATTATTTATTGAATTGACTTCATATGATGTGTTTTTACTCGTAGTAGTGATAGTAAAGACTTGTCAACTGCGCCTCACTTTATTCTTATTTTTTAAACTAAATTGACTTCTTTATGACAACATTTTATATTTTATTTTTAAATAAACTTTATATAAAATAATGTAGAGATTTTGATGTTTGATTTCCTGTTTCTCTCTTCTCAGACTGGAGTCACAGACTTTTCTTTTTATTTACTACACAAAATCAAGACAAACAAAAAGACTCAATAAACGTACCAATCCTTGTCCCTGCTCCCTACTTTTAATATCAGTCTTGCTGTCCATTCTGTCTTCCTCTGGTTTTCTCTGCTCTGACTTCAAAATCACAAAATGTTTTATTTTCATCATCATCAAAAACTGCCCTCTTCTCTTCACTGCCCCCTGCTGACCACCAGGAGAACACCGAGTCCGGGCGAGTGTCCCAGGAGTCGGACTTCCACCTCTGACGTCACTGGTGTGTCAACACTCAAACTGCAGCACCAACACCTGCTGCTGTACTGCCACCATGAGGTATGAGGAGCACATGACAGGGCCTGAGAGGAATTTAACGTGTACGACTGTAGTATAATACGCTTAGCAATACTACCAAAGGTGTAATATTCAGAACTATATTCAGTACTAAATATATATTTATATATTATATAAGTAGTATCATTTATATAGTGTATATAAACGATTCTGAAGCAGTTCAACCTCCAAGCGGTGGTGGACCTGTGTGATGACGTCGACGTGAGGAAGTGTCCGCTCCTCATACTCTTTGGTATCCGGTGTCTTCGGCGGACGTTGACTCAGTACTGGAGGACCTGTTGTCTGGACCGGTACTGACGTCGGTTCCAGGGAGTGTATGACGTCAGCAGTTCTCCGTTACTGTCCACAGTGAGACACAGTCATCAGTACCGATGGTTCTGATCTGGTTCACAGACTGGATCAGGTTCAGGTCTGAGGTTCTGCTCCATGAACGTGACCTTTGAGAGCGATGATGCTGTCACAGTGTGACGTCACTGCAGCTGAACATGTGTTAAAAATGAACACTTTCTCTATGAGGTTCTGAATGAGGACAGTGACGTCACCTGGTGTTGTTATGGTATTTATATGAAGCACTTTCTTCAGTAACTGGTTAATAATCTGTTATTGATCATGGATTAATGCCCCCTGCAGGTCGGACGGAGTACTGAGCTCTGGTCAATGTGAGTTTTTTTTTATCTTGTATTGGTCGTGACGTTACTTGGCTGATCACGTGAACCCGATGTAACACATACCATCTCATGATCCTGTGACCCCAGAATGACGTCATAGCAGCAGCTGCTGACTGAAGGGGCGGGGCATATTGAAGGGGGCGGGGCCACAGTAGTCAGCCAATACTGCAAAGATGAGCTGATGAGAGGACAAGAGGAGCTGAGCTTTGAAGAGCTGCGATCTGAGAGATACTTCCTGCACAAGGAGGGTGAGTTCACATGGCTGCACCACTGACCAGTGACCTTTAACCTATGACCTGACACCTGCCCCCATTCACAGGGAAGCTGAAGCAGCAGCTTCAGCAGAGAAGAAAACCAGAGTCTTGGACCTTCACATGTCACAGCAGGTGTGTGTCAGTAGCGCCCCCTACATCTATGTGACGTCTCAAACCATCCTAGTCTGACTGCTCTTTCCATCAGACCAGAGACTGTGTCGAACCTGAACCTGGACCTGGACCTGGACCTGGACCTGTAGCTGCACCATCCACTTCCTTTCACAACTATGATGACTCCCAACCTACTGCTGCAGCATGGGCTGATGGGTAATTGGACATCTTTAAACACACTGGTGTTGGTGTGGCTCAGTTGTGATGTGTATGTGTCTCTGTGTGGGATAGAAATGTTCATACATTGGACAACATCTTCCTGCCGCCTGGAGACAAACCACCAGGTGTCAGTGTCCAGAACAAGAGCCAAGGTCAGAACACAGAGCGCCACACCAAAGCCCATAGAGAAAATCAGTCATTTTAGCTCATAGATTTAAGTTCCTGGGAGCGAGAACAAATCTCCTGCATCCTAACATCCAATCATCAGCACGTGTTTCAAGCTCAGGTCCGTGGCCCGGCCTATGTCAGACCAGCCCTGTGATCAGGACAATCAGAATTTCTTGGAGGCAGCAGTGAACAAGCTGTGGTCTTGCTTAAAATCATTGATTTTCTCCATGGACTTTGGTCTGAACTAAAATCTCTGATTTTCTCTATGGACTTTGGTCTGAACTAAAATCTCTGATTTTCTCCATGGACTTTGGTCTGTAAACACTGTCCTGATGCACATAATTATCATTGTTTGTTCTGGTTGTTTCTTCATCCTTTTCACCCTATAATTCAGTACTAGTTATTGGCTGTCTGAGACTTAGTTTCCTGGCTCCACCCCCACCCCCACTCCACACCCCTACCCTCCACTCCACTATATTTATGTGACATTTTTTCTACGTTTGTCTCCAAACCTTTGTGTGCAGTTGAGGAAATGAGTGTGGAGACTACGAGCTGCTGGTCAGTGCAGGAAGATGACCAGCAGGTGGCAGAGCTGCACCAACAGAGGGTGGATGTTGAGAACCAAGCAGTGGTGCAGGGGGACCAGCTCTGTCCAGCTCTCAGGGCAGGTGTGTGTGTGTGTGTGGGGGGGGGGTTCTAGGACATGGGTGTGGTGCAGTGAATCCCTGTGACCAGCAGGTGAAACTGAAACTGTTGGAGCTCTGTGATGTCACTTCCTGCCCTGGTCTATACCATGAGTCACAGAAGCTTCCAGAAGTGAGCAGCAGTCTGCAGCTCGGTGAGTTCCTCAACTTCTTGAAGTACTACACACGGTCCAAATACTACACATGGATGACTCATGATCTGTGGGTGCTTTACCACTAGGGGGCTGTCTGTACCACATCCACTCTGGACTGGTGGTCTCAGCAGGTTTCAAGGTTTACGCAGCAGCGTTGGACGACCACGGCGTGCTCATAAAGGTGAGAGTGTGACACGGGCAGCCCCGGAGGATCATGGGTACTTTACTAGTTTGACCTCCACGGTGTCAACTGCTTCTTGTTCTCAGGTGGACCAGCGCAGGGTTCCCTGGGACTTTCATCAGTACCGTCGTCTGAAGGAAGGCTCTGACATCATGAGTGGACTTCCTCCAATCAGCTGCTTCCTGTTTCTGGACGGCTGTGTGACCGTCTACACCAGTCCACCTGACCACAAGTTCTTGGTATTAGTCCCAGATGTGGACCTGGACCACCCTGACCTCCATAAACAGACTGGAACATCTCACCCCCATCTCACCCCTCCTCCCCCTTCAGTTTCTAGTTTGTCTGATGTTGAGGGTCATCTGACATGTTTAACTGTGTGTGTGTGTGTGTGTGTGAGAGAGAGAGAGAGATCAGGCTCTGACAGAGTTTGGAGGCGGAGCCTGCAGTAAGACCCTCCTTCTCCTCCAGCTGCTGCGTGGTCTGCACACCTCTGGTCTCCTCCACTCCTCCCTCCGACCAGAGCTTCTGTGTTGTTCTTACAGGTGAGCAGGATCTGGACTGGTCCTCAGGTCTGTGGGATCTGGACTGACTTCATGTCATGTGACCTTGTGGTCTTTAAGAGGTTTATTGGACCTGGTTGGAATCTTCCCCTTGGATTGGTCGTCTTCTCTGGACCTCAACCTCCAACAGGAAGTGACATCAGTGCAGCACTTGGCCACGGCCCAGCCCTACATCAGTCTGGGTCTCCTGAAGCCCACTGACCCACCTCAGCTGGTACCTGTCTCAGACCTACTCACCCGTCACCTCCCAGCTGTGTCTCTGCCCACAGATAACTCCTCCCACTCTGTTGTCAGGTGGACCTGGTGGGCGTGGCCGAGATGACTGGCAGCAGGATGGTCCTGGTCCAGGACTTTGAGGGTTGGACAGTGGAGCACCTTAGCAGAGATCAGCCCTGGTAGGTTCTGGAGTCACTGGGAGTGGACCCTGGTCCAGGGTTCTGTTGTCTCACCTGTCCCTGTCCCTGTCTGTCCCAACAGTGACATGTGTCCCAGCACCTGGAGGACCTGGACCAGGTTTTTCCGTGTATTGCTGAACACTGGTGGTGGCTGGTCACTGGACCTGCTGTCAGATCTGGATGATCAGCTGACTGTGATGTGAAGAACCTTCAAAAATAAATGATCAGTTCTAGGTTCTGTTCTAGTACTGTGTTTTATTCATCCACACCCCAAATACCACCAGCCCTAAAATAGTACCAGGCTCGGCCTCACCACATAACCTGCAGGGGGCACTCTGACACTCCAGGTGGACTGAGATCCCCCCCCCCCGTTCTCCTTACCCCCCTGCCTGCCAATCCTTTCATTTTCATTCACATTATCCTTTATTTTATTTTTATTCCAATCCTTTAGTTTTTGTTGATCAATATTTGCCGCTTCTGTATTCGGCTCAAAAGGGTTTTATTGTGAAGGTTAGGGTATGCACGGAAATGACGTCTCCACTAAACTTTCCGGCCTGCATGCGGAAGTGCTTCCTTCTGCAATAGCAGCAAAAGACGAAGAAGAAGCAGCTATCGCTCGTCTCGCTTCTCCCCGAAAACTCACTCCGACCATCGGCCCAGGACCTTCCAGGGCAGCGGGAACCACCGCCGACAGCTGCAGCCTCTTTGACAGCCCCCAACAGCCTCGGTAAGTCGCTGCCTTCGTGTACGGGCCTGCTGCCACTATAATACGGGCGGGGGTGGCGGGGCTAGCGGTCCTCGCATTTACGTTGACTACATCCGTTTAGTCATTTGAGCCAACACTCTTTAATGGCTCATTTCAGTTCCAACAGTGTGTTGTGGGTTCTCCAGTATTGTTCTCAATAATGTTCTTCAAATCATTTAAGCTTTTTTGTTATACTTTACGCTGTGTCCCTTTTGGGGTTTTTTCCTACATCATTTACGTTTACTTTGAAGGGACAGTTTCCGGAAAAGCGGGTGCTAAGAATAGAGGGTTTCGCGCAGCTTATCGCCGTTCCTCCATCTTGGCTCCAGCGCGGCCTCTGCTTGAGCTCCTTAGGAGGAGGACGGGCGCTGCTGGACGGCCTCAGAGAGCCGTGAGGCCCGGTGTCCACCGCTAACTAGCGGCCCCTATCCGGTAAACTGTGAAACTCTTGCTGGAGACGCAGAGCAGAACCTTTTAAATAAAGAACTGGAACATGGTCAGAGACGACAGTGGTCGAACGATTAAAAAAAAAACAACGGGGAAATAAATGTTTTTGTATAAAGGATTCGGGATGAAGAAAAGTTCTCCAGCATTTCTTTGATATAACAGACCGTAAAACATTAATAAATTGCGGCGAAACTGTATTTCGTTCAGTTTAGTGATTTATAATTACAGTAGTGCTAGTTTGTAATTTAGTTAATTTATTTCTGACCTTTGTGACCTTTGAAGTTTTGGTGTTACGTTAACGCAGCAATGAGACTGAAACTGAGAAAGAAACTCAAGTTTGAAAAGAATAAACGTCGAGATACAAACACTGGGCTTCGATGGAGCAGGACCTTCTAGTACTTATGATGGTACCTGGTCCTGCAGTACTTTATACAGTATGTAGCGGTGATGTAGTCGGTGTTAGCGGCCGGAGGAGAACATTTTAAGAAGGTAGTGGACATGACCGAGTCACGAACCTTCACATTTATAAAGTGTGAGTCGTAGACAGATGAGGCGGAGAGAATCCTGTCATTTTTCAAAATAAAACATTGTTCAGAATCAGATAATAAATAAAACAAAAATAACGTAAGTTATGCATTCCCTCTGTGCGGCCGAGTACCGATTGACTCATGGACCGGTGCGTGTCCCGGGATTTGGGGACCACTGGTCTAGAACACAGACGTACTGAAGTGTTTTCAGTTATTTAAAAAAAAAAAATCATATTTTACGATACATTTGAATACAAAGACTGACATAATGTTGACTTTTGTACTTTTGTACTGCAGTAGTACTGCCCACATGTTTGTGTGAAGAAAGTTTTTGTAGAACTATTGATATCATTATCATTGTGTTAAAGTGATTTAACAAGTTGTTGGTTCAAAACCCACACCATAAAGGCAGAGTTAATTCATTAATCAATTGTGGCTCGGACATGAATAATAATGTATAAAATGCAATAATATAAACATGAAGGATGATCAAAGGAAGTGGATGTTGACTTATTCTGAATGTTACTGGCCCATATATAAATAAATAAATATATATACCTACATCAATACGATATAATTATACAGTATATACACATACTGTATGTACATGTATCATATATATATATATATATATATATATATACACACATAAATATATAGCTTAGTTTAGTTTTATAATGTTTTGATGACTAAGATTTTTTCAGATCCCCCCCTCTCTCCCCCACTCTCCCCACTCCCACCAACTGCTAACTTCTCTGTGTTGTTCTGTGGTCTGCAGGACGATGGCGAGGCCGAGCCACAGCGACCACGTCCTCCAGCAACTCAACAATCAGCGGGAGTGGGGTTTCCTGTGTGACTGCCTCATTGCCATCGGTGACATTTACTTCCGGGCCCACAAGGCGGTGCTGGCTGCCTGCAGCTCCTACTTCAGGATGATGTTCATCCGTGACCAGCAGGGGACCGGCCGTCTGGACCTCAGCAACATGCAGATTAGCGCCGAATGCTTCGACCTGATTCTACAGCTCATGTACCTCGGACGCATCGTGGTGGGAAGCTACGAGTTTGAGCAGCTCAAGGCGTCCATGGCGTACCTTCAGATGTACTACATCCCCGACTCACTGGAGGACCTGAGTGACATCAGGAGCTCCAACCTGGCTCCGACCTCCTCCGCCTCCTCTTCCAGTTCCTCCTCTGTCTCCGGGGGCGGGAAGATGATGTTCGGCGTACGTATGTATGAGCAGCAGAGAGCTGCGCCTGCAGCCGAGATGGAGCGCTCAAAGAAACCCGTCCCAGTAACCGCTAACAGGCCGGCGGTGGTTGAAGAGGTGATCTCTGCTCCTCTGATCATCGGCCCGCCCACTGTCGATGGAACGCTGGAGCAACCGTGCGACCTAAGGAAAAGGCCGAGTGGAAGAAGTTCGACCCTCAAAGAGCGTCCACGGTTCGGTCGCACCTACACCTGCGACGACTGCGGCTTTGTCTTCAGTTGTGAGAAGCTGCTGATCGAGCATATCCTCACCTGTACCAACCGAAAAGCTTACCACCCCCCCAGAGGGAACACCGAGGGCGACAACGATTCCAGCAAAGCCGAAAGCTCCACCTCGGACAGCACTGAGGAACAGCAGGTCCTCTGTAAGGGTGAGGACGACTGGCCGGAGGCCACGCCCAGCTCTGTCCTGAACATCAGGTCTGTGGTGTCTGGGACGGACGATGAACCCGGGTCCACCCAGAACATCTCTGTCAAAATTGAACCGGAGGAAGGAACCATTTTTTCAAAGATTGAAATGGTCCGAGTCGGTGAGCGCTCCCCTCGCGACTGTCGTCTGCACTTAGACGCCATGACACACAAAGATTTTCTGAGAGAGAAAACCTGCTCAGATCCTGAATCGGAACCTGGCGTTTCTGGTCTGGAGACCGTGCACATGTCCTGCGGCGATGATCCAGGAATTCCTACGAAGCTCCGTAAAGTCAAAGACGAGAGGCGAGACACAGAGTCCTCCCCCTGCGAGCTGTGTGGTGCTGTGCTGATGGAGGAGGAGAAGTCCACCCACTACCTGTCCGACCACCTGGACCACATCTGTGCCTGTGGACGTTGCGGTCAAGTCCTGATCAAAGGCCGTCAGCTGCAAGAGCACGCGGAGCGCTGCGGCGAAGCTCAGGGAGTTGAGTCGGACTCACATGGGGAGGATGAGGCCTCCTTGCTGGAGGATCATCAGGGTATGGAGGAGGGTTTGTTGGAGGCCACTGACCTGGCCTGTCCTCACTGTGGCCTCCTCTTCCAGAATGAAAGCCTGGCTCTAGAACACACTCTGACCTGCCATGAGCAGGAACTGTTCCGCCCAGTGTTGCTGGAGGAGGGCGTTGAGCACGATCACCGCCGTAAACATTTCTGCAGCATCTGCGGGAAAGGCTTCTACCAACGCTGCCACCTGCGAGAGCACTACACCGTCCACACCAAGGAGAAGCAGTTCACCTGCCAGACCTGCGGCAAGCAGTTCCTCCGCGAGCGCCAGCTGCGGCTGCACACAGACATGCACAAAGGCATGGCGCGCTACGTCTGTCCGGTGTGTGACCAGGGAACCTTTCTCAAACACGATCACGTCCGACACATGATCTCCCACCTGTCGGCCGGTGAGACCATCTGCCAGGTGTGCTTCCAGATCTTTCCTGGCGGGGAGCAGCTGGAGAAGCACATGGATGTTCATCTGTACATCTGCGGCGTGTGCGGAGAAAAGTTCCGACTGCGGAAAGACATGAGAAGCCACTACAACTCCAAACACACAAAGAGAATTTAGAGGTGCCGGCAAGAACCGGATCTGTTTTCTACCAAAGCCACAAATGTGAGAAGAATTCTCTGCATTCAACCCATGGTTCCTGCACTTTTTTAGGCTCATCATTTGTAGCAGTCGATAAGTCGTTCACAGCTTCACGTCAGGAAGGGTCAGGCCGGGTCGGCGTTCCAACCCGAGGTCACTGAACTGGTCCTGTTAGAACTGCAGCTGAATTGTATTTATTTTTTTAATTCATTGTAAACTGATGTTCAGGAACTATTTGAATGCTTCGGTTCTTCTATTTATATCAGGTCACATGACTTCCCAGCTGTGGAGTCTGACACAGAAGGTCGTGTCCAGTCTGGACTGAGTCGAGATCCGGTCAAACTAAAACCAAAGTCTGGTCAGAGGTAGGAACTGTGGTCCTGTTGGGCCTCAGCTCTGGACTGGTACCACTGATGATTCTGGATCAGCACCATGGCCTCTCTCAATGTGTTGTTGTAGTTGGTAGGTGTGGTCAAACTAGATCCTGCTCACTGATTGGTCCATCGTAGCTTTGTTCCCTTTCTGCAGCAGTATGAAAACACTACTGATGATCTGAGCTCACTTCCTGTCCCTCGTCTTCTTCATTTCAACCAGAATCGTCAGACCTGTCACATGTTTGTGTGGTTCTGCTCCAAGTTTTGCAACAAAATATGACATTTTTCGAGAAGCCTTGATAAGTTTGTCATATCAACTTTAGCACCACTAGGGGCCACCGACAGCTGGCTGGGGCTAAAGTTAGCGGTGCGTAGAACTCATCATGTCCAACTGGGTCGCTCCAAAACCTTATATTTAAACCACAACCCAAACATCAGTCACAAAAACTCTATTTTGACATTGTGTAAAAGTCAAGGTTTTCTAAATAAAGAGTTTTAAATCTGGGAAGGTTGAATAATTTGAAGTGGTTATTTTGTAGGGCGTCAGTGCGTGGCTACAACTAAAATCATTGTTTGGTGTAGCTTCACCGACTTTGTTCACTAACCAGGTCGGACTGTAACCATGCCACTTATCCAAGATGAAGCTAGTGACTACCACAGTTTGCGGTGCGTTGCCTCTGCCTTGACTGGTACCTGTGGAGAGTCAAACACCACTGGTGGATTCTGCTGTTCACAAATAAACAAAGCCTTTTTATAAAAGCTTCATTTAAATCAACTGTGTTTAACTCACTTCAGTTTTTTTTCGTAGTGTAAACTTTCCCACACCAAACCTCACAGAGATAATCAGTGATTTACCTCACACACCAGTTGTTGCCTCCATCATTTAGTGGAAATATATTTTGTGACTGTTTGAAACCCTTCATTCAGAACGATATAGAATGAATTGGCCTTTATTGTAAACAGTGATATTTCAGTTCACTTTGGTCTGAACTAAAATCTCTGATTTTCTCTATGGACTTTGGTCTGGGAAAGCGATTGATTGAATTAAATGGAATGTTATTTTCTTGTCTCCCTTTACTGAGATCCACATTGTGAGAATCAGATGGCTTCTAACAGCAAGGGGGCGCTCACAGTCTGTCTAAAGCAAAGGTTTGTAAGGAATTGAAAATGAAGAAATGAGTAAAGAAACTGTTTAATGATTCTTTAGTTAAACAGGTGAAACTAGCACAGTCCAACACTTCACTCCAGGCAACTGAAAATGACATGAAATCACATGGAACTGCTTAACTACTGGTTACTACACACACTACATACAGACACCTACTACACTACAGTGTAACACAGTGGGCTAACTACAAACACGGGGTCGTCACCAGGACTGGTGCTAACTCACTCATCCAGGCCCTTTTTGGGGGCGTCCCTGGTCTTGACCCTCAGCTTGTTCACCTGGGCCTCGGCAACATCAGCTCTCTCCTCAGCCTCCTCTAGCTCGTGCTGCATTTTTCGGAGTTTGGCTAGGTTAGCATTAGCTGCTTCCTCTGCCTCTTCAGCTGTGCGTTTGTAGGACTTGACTTTGAGTTGCAGTTTGTCCACCAGGTCCTGGAGGCGGACCATGTTTTTGCGGTCTTCCTCAGCCTGGTAGGTTAGCTCTTTGATCCGACGTTCATACTTGCGGATTCCTTTGATGGTTTCCACCCCTCTCTTCTGTTCTGCCTCCAGTTCGTTCTCCAGTTCTTTAATGCGAGCCTCCAGTTTCTGGAGCTGCTTCTTGCCTCCCTTCATTGCGATCTGCTCGGCCTCGTCCAGACGCTGCTGCAGGTCTTTGATGGTCTGCTCCATGTTTTTCTTCATGCGTTCCAGATGTGCGCTGGTGTCCTGCTCCTTCTTCAGCTCCTCAGCCATCATGGCTGCATCAGTGATGGCCTTCTTTGCCTTCTCCTCTGCATTACGGTTTTCCTGTATGACCTCCTCCATCTCGCCCTGGAGGTGGAGCACGTCCGCTTCCTGTTTCTTCTTCTGGTTGATCAGGCTAGTGTTTTGGGAGTGAAGGAGCTGCAGCCGCTCGGAAGCGTCCAACAGCTCCTGTTCAGCCAGCTTACGACTCCGTTCTGTCTGCTCCAGAGCCGCCCGTACCTCCTCCAGCTCAGCCAGGACCAGGTTGTTCCGGCGCTCCAGTACTGTTATGTTTTCCCTCAGGTCCTCGTTGCTGTGTTGTGCATCGTCCAGCTGCAGCTGAGTGTCCTTCAGAAAGCTCTGGAGACTCTTTAGCTGTTTGTGAGCATCACCTGCCTGTCTGCTGGCGTGACTCAGCTGGATCTCCATCTGGTTCAGATCACCTTCCATCTTCTTCTTGACTCTCAGTGCCTCGTTTCTGCTCCTGGTTTCTGATTCCAGGGAGGACTGAAGCGACTCCAGCGTCCGCTGGTAGTTCCTCTTAGCCTGTTCCATCTCCTCATCCTTCTCGGCCATTTTGCGCTCCATCTCCATCTTCACTTGGTTGAACTCCAGTTGTGCTCTCAGGATCTTGCTCTCTTCATGCTCCAGGGAACCTTCTGCCTCCTCCAGGGCTGACTGGAGCTCAACCTTTTCTTGTTCAAGCTGCTTTCTGATCTTCTCTAGTTCGTGGGCGCTTCTTCCACCCTCGCCCAGCTGGTCAGTGAGCTCTGTGATCTCTTCCTGTAGGTTTTTGTTCTCTCTTCTTATTGTCTCCAGTTGTTCCAGACTCTCCTCGTAAGCGTTCCTCAGTTTAAAAAGCTCCGTACTCAGAGACCTCGCCTCCTTCTGTGCGGCCTCCAGCTCACACTGAGACTCTTCAAACTTCTGCTTCCACTCTGCCAGGATTTTGTCAAAGACCCTCTGTTTTTTGTCCAGTGCTCCAGCTGCTGCGTTAGATCTTTCGATGTCCAACATCAGGTCTTCAATCTCATTTTGAAGGCGGTGCTTGGTCTTTTCAAGAGAGGAACACTTGGCGTTCACCGCCTCCATGGCTTCTTCTGATTCCTGCAGCCTCTGAACCAGCTTCTTCTTTGCCTCCTCCAGCTCCTCTGTCCTCTGGATCCCGTCCGTCTCATACTTTGTCCTCCACGTGGAGACCTCACTGTTGGACTTGGACAGAGCTCTCTGCAACTCGGCCTTGGCTTCCTGTTCCTCTTCCAGCTGTTCTCTCAGCAGGTCGCAGTCGTGACGAGCCGACTGCACGGCGTGTGCCAGTGCGTTCTTGGCCTTCACCTCCTCCTCCAGCTGTCTTCGTAGATCGTCCACCTGCTGGTTGTAGGAGTTCTTTCCTCTGGTTAGCTGTGACACCAGA